GGTAAGTATGAAACAAAAGAGAATGCACATTTTGTGTTAATTTTAATGATAAAAAAAGGGCACAGGAGGAAAAAACCTGATATTTCACTTATATTGCAAAACAAGCTAACCAAACTGGACATGGAGGATAAATTATAAAACAAATCATTTTACGTATTTATCTATGACTTTTCTTCAATTAGACTCTGTATTTCATAAGGCTGAGGTATAGTACACTGGCAAAAAAAATATAAGAGGCAAACAAGAATAGTGCCAAAGTAACAGATACCCAAAACCATGTCAGAAAACATCATATAGTAACCATTTATCAGATTAGAGCAGCAGGAGAAAGTCACTTCTAAGTCATAATCATTTTAGTGGTATGTGTCAGCTTCACCATGGCAACTTCGCAACATCATTCTTCATTTGTGAAGTAGTAAAATTCATGTCAAAAAAGGAAGGGAGGACAGGGGAGTCACTTAGTTCATTCCAATAAATTACCTCTCCAGTTCTTATAAACACGCCTATCAGCACAAATTAAGAATAATATCTAAGACAGAAGACACTTGGTTTAAGTTATGAAGCAAATAAAATGAAAAAAAATACAAGAAAATAGAACCAATGGGGTTGGAAAAAGCCCCTCACTGAAAATCTGTATTAAAAAAAATAAAATTAATAAAATAAAAATAGAAACAAAACTCTACTAGTACAAACTAGCCTGAGTGGTTTGATTGACAGAGTGATTGGGTCAACTGTCACTGTACTTCCATAAATGGATTTTCATTCATGTTAAAGTGGCACATGAATGTAGGCTCTATAAAGGACAAGTACTATATTTTATAGAACCCAAATAGATAACTGTATATCCTATAAATAAAAAATATTTTACTTTGATAACTGACTGAATATGTGGGGACTCCATGTATCCAACCACATGGTTGTTTGCTGTACAGTCCTGTGCAAATATAAAAAAAAAATTTTTTTGCTATAAGGCTTTAACCCTACAGTTTTCACAGCAACATAACTACCATCCAGCATGTACCATATTTTGCAAGCCTTCAAGTTCAACAATCCAAATTGTCGATTCATAGTATGTCCAAATGCAGCATTCTTGAGGAATATAGTAGGTCAGTTAATCATCCAGAGACATACAAACATCTCCTGATTCATCCCATCGAGGCGCACCATTCTGATCTTCTCCGTTCTCAGCCAGCTCATCCTCAGGCTCTCCTCCTTCATTCTCCTCACATTCTTCATCTCGAGGGAACTCTGCATCCTGTCCCTGATCTACACCTTCTTGCCCTGCTGGCTGTGATTTATCTGCACAGTCCATACATACTCCATAGCGTCGAGATCCATGTCTTATTCCAACACTGGCTGCTAACATGAAGATCTTCTTACACACCATGCATTTGTATTTTTTATCCTTTTTATGCACCTAATTGGAGAAAACACCAAAATAAGAATAGCACAGATAAATAACACATTTGAGCCATTCAAATTAAGCCATACATTTAGTTATGTATGCATAGCTAATTAATATTTTCTGGATGAAGCAAAGTATCAGCTCAAAAATAATCCTGTTAAAAGCAACTTAAACCATCCTTCTTTAAATCTGCAAATAAAATGTTTGAAACATCACTGTCATAAGATCATCTCCATGATCAGCTGGGTTTAAGGTAGGTCACTTACCAGGGAATGTCTTTTTACATGTTCTCTTCTAGTAAACAGCTTTCCACAAATGTCACAGCTAAACGATCTTACTCCAGTATGAATGAGCAAGTGCCTTTTTAGTGTTCGTCTGTATTTGGCTACATAGCTACAATGAGGGCATTTTAACTTGTTCATGATTAGAGATGAGTCACCTTAAAGTGAAAAAAAAATACTGTTTAATATAAATATTAAGCAGAAACCTAGCAATACTTCTATGTCAACTGTTAACATAGCTACTACTTATTTTTTAAAACTCAGAATATGGAAGGTTTTAATTATTAAAATTTTAGAGTTGTGTATTTGTATTTGTTGGTAATACTTGCCATTTTCCCACGTTTCTTGTTTGGGCCAAGAATCTGGCAATAATCCGTACTTGAAATCATTTGAAGCACCAGGTAGCAAACCATATTTGAAGTCATTTGAAGTACTTGGTAGTAACCCATACTTGAAATCACTTGAAGTGCCAGATATCATCCCATACTTGAAATCATGTGATGCTCCTAGTATAATTGAAAAGTGATGTTGGGGGGAAAAGTCTGTTATCTCTTAATCACAGCCCGGAAAAATAAAACACACTTATAAGAACAATGATAAACTATTTAATATACACTAAATAAAGCACCATGTACTTGCTTATACCTGTGCTACTAGCACTTGAGAGGTTGAGACAGGGCAGAGGAAGGAGGTCAGGGCCAACCTTGGATACACTATGAATTAGGAGTCAGATGTGACCACATAGAGTTTCTTACAAAAAAAAACCTTTCCCCAAAAAAAAAAAAAAAAAAAAAAAAAAAAAACCTACCCTATTCCCTCCCCACTTGTCTTCACTCCAAAACCTAAATAAAAACACCAGGTCCTGGATTCAATTCCCATACTGCAACAATATAAATAAAATTCTTGAACCTCTGAAGAAAAACAAACAGACAAATATATAGCAGGAATTACCTCTTTCTGGGTTTCACACACACAGGCTCTCTCTATATATAGGATCCTCAGTTTTTGCCATTTGACCCAATCAATTCTAACATGTGTGTTCTTTTTCAGTGGCTGCCAACTTGCTACCCAGTTCACACTCAGTCACAGCAATTCCACCCCCACCCCCCCTTTTGAGACACAGTCTTATGCAATTCAGGCTGGCCTTGAACTTGATTTGTAGTTTAGAATGACCTTCAACTAACTCAGCACCCTCATGCTGCTTCTCAAACACAGCACCACAGCTGCTAGAGATTCTTTTTCAAGACTGGGAGCCTAAGGCAAGATGATGCAAAGCCAGACTAGGTCAAACCCAAAACAAACTCATTCAAAGCTAGTAACTCAGAGCGAAAGTCTACACTTTCATTAAGGGATCAGACTAACCTGATGGAGACCTTCCTTCCACTCTCCCTTTAGGCTGCTCATTCCAACATAAGGACCTCTGAGAGGTCTCTCCATGTATGGTAAATAGGCTCCCTGCAAAGCACTTGTAACTCTGACTTCTCAGAAACATTCCTTTTCAATAAAGACATGTACAGCACTCATTCATTAATAATACAGGTAGAAATCTCTAATCTAGCCAGGCGATGGTGGTGCATGCCTTTAATCCTCCCCACAAAAGAAATCTCCACAATCTAAAACCCCACAATCTCTAATGCTCACAAATTAGAATATTTTTAGAATATCATGTTGTGCTCAAAAAAACTTACAGACTTTGGAGATGTTGACTTCTATTACTGCTTTATTACTGCTTCTATCAGTAAAGGCCATGCAAAATATTTCAAATTCTTAAAGACTCCAACTTTTACAGGGTTTCTCTGTGTGTCTTTGGAGCCTTATTCTGGCACTGGTTCTATACACCAGGATGGCTTTGAACTCACATAGCTCCACCTGCCTCTGTCTCCCAAGAGCTGTGATTAAAGGCATGTACCACCACAGCCCAGCAAGACTACAACATTTTAAATACATCTGGTCCCAAGCACTTCTGATAAACTAAACTTCCATTTACCACACAAACCGTCCCCTTAAAAAAATTGGTAAAAGGATATACAAAGACATTAAAAAAAGATTTGTGGGATGTTTTTTTAAAAATGTACTGCATTGCCATTATATGGATTGCCTTGAATTTAGAACTTATTTATTTTTTGGTTTTTCGAAGCAGGGTTTCTGTGTAGCTTTTTAGACCAGAGTGGCCTCAAACTCAGAAATCCACCTGCCTCTCTGTCTCCCAAGTGCTGGGATTAAAGGTGTGCACCACCACTGCCGGCTTTAGTCTTTTTTAATTCAAGAAAGTGCTCTGAGGCTACAATTTTAAGTACAATGTTGTTGGTAAAAGTTTCAAAACTGTGAAGTGAGAACATTTCCAAACATGCAAGACATTGAGGGGAACCAGGGTGGCAGCTTGGGGCAGTCAACCTTTCAATTTTTACTTTTGTATTTCTAAATTGAGTTGGGGCTTTATTATTCCCATTTCTTTCTTTTTTTTTTTTTTTTTTTTAATTTATAATTTTGCCTGCATGTATGCCCGTATGCTACAGGCCAGAAGAGGGCACCAGATCTCATTACGGATGATTGTGAGCCACCATGTGGTTGCTGGGAACTGAACTCAGGGCCTCTGGAAAAGCAGCTTAATGGCTGAGCCATCTCTCCAGCCCCCAATGATTGCTATTTCTTAAGTGTAACTGTGCACAAAACAGATACAAGTTACTGTCTAGGACAGCAAGACCTGTCTTATCTTTTGTTTCTGATGTCCAAAGCATACATGACCTTTACTTATTTACAGTTTTACATTCTTGGACTCAATTTCTAAACCAAACAATTGGGTTCTATTATATGCTCTTAAGACAGTAGTGATTCTCTGTACAAGCAATAATTAATTAATTTGTGAAATCTCTAAAATTCCATCTTGCTCAAAAAAAAAAAAAAATCCAAAGGCATGCTGGGCATGGTAGTTATGTACCTTTTATTTGGGAGATAGAAACACGAAGATCTCCAAGTTCTAGCTCAGCCAAGGCTACAAAGTATGACCCTATCTGAAGCAAAACAAACAAAAAGGTGTATCTCAGAGGTACAGGTGTGGCTGGCATAATCAAGGCCCTATGTTTGATTTCCAGCACCTAAAAGGGCAGGAGCTAGTAACAACTTTTTACAAGCAGTGCCATCTGTTCTTCCACCAATAATTCTAAAAAAGGAATTCCAATGTTAAGTTGAATTTACAGCTACACTTCACCTTTAAACGCTAATTTTGCCTCATTTTTCCTTTGTACATAACATTTTATGCACCACTGTAATATGTACCTTTTGCTTTATGCCTAAATATAACATTCTCCTACAAAACCATTATGCAAACAAGTTTAAGACTGAATATTGCTAACAAATAATACATATCCCTATTTCCAACTGTTCCCAAAATGCCTGTACCCTTGATTCAAGATCCATAGTACCTTGCATTTAGTCTCCTTTTGTCTAGTGGTTCCTTTGTTATGTCTTTGTCCAACTAGCCATTAGGGCTTGTACTGCCTGATATGTTTTTAAATTTTCTCTTCACAGATAAGATTCAGGATAAACATTGCTCAAAAATACTACCTAGGTAATGCTGTGTGTCCAAAAATGTATCACATCAACCGGCTCATTTCATTAAGTTGTTTTTAATGACAGTAATTCTAAACAGTTGGTTATAATTAATGCTCTTCAGATCTCTTTAGTGTATACATACCTCTTCCTTCTTGATAAGGCAGGCATGAACACACAAAAATATAGTAATTAAAAAAAAACTTCACAGAGAAATTAACTTTTGAGGGTTACAATTCTATCAACCTGTACAATTCTATCAACTTTCTATTTTTGACACTTTATAGTAAATGAATCTTTTTCTCTTTATTCCATTTTGCTTACAACAGATTCATGTAATTTTTGCCTTTATATGAATCAAGGATTCCCCAAAGTATAACTGATTTAAATTTCACTATTTAAAATTTATTTCTCTTAAGTTTATTTTTATGATTTTTTTCTTGTGTCTGCATGTATGTGTGACATGAATACTCCCCTAAAGGCCAAGTGTCAGATCTCCAACTCCCAAATTGGAATTACAGATGTTGGTGAGCCACTGGATGTGGGTGCTGGGAATCACAGTGCTCCTAACTACTGAGCTATCTCTTTAGTGCCTTCCAACATTTTCTACAGCCAATGATCACAATTATTTTACAAAACTAATAAAATGCACTAGTCAACTATTGCGATAATTTCCTTTCAATTCCATCAATAATCTGGCAGGAAGCTATAAGCTCCATTAAGCCACCTAATATTTAAAAGTTTTAAAATACTGATTAACTCAAACAAAACCAAAAATATCAATTTGTATTTATCAAAGTCCTATAGTCATCACAACCTTAACTAACTCCAGGCTGGTCTTTAAATGGAAACATTTACACACAAGTAGCAAAGAACCTACAGTAGATTCCAGTAAACATGTACAGTAGCACTCCACAATCTTCAGATCCTCTCAGATAAGTTTTTGCTAAAAAATATTACTGTACCTACCAGCATCTCCTGCATCTTGACCACTACAGGCTTCAGCCAAAAAATTTGTGTTCACAGTCCTATCACCATCAGGCCCTGAGAGTAGTGTACCATCCAAATCTGAAAATGAAACAATAAGTTTATTTGCAAACCACACCATAACCATCCACCCAAGAACACCATTTTCTTCCCAATCTCTTGGGACGTAGGCCAGTAAAGAGGCTTTCCAGTATTGGGTATCCACCACATGCTTAGCAGTATAGGCCACGGAGGCATCACTACATCAGTACAAACAAATGTAAACTCCAGGTAAGCAAAGACCATAACTATTCCTACTGTCTAAAATGAATGTCCTCCAACTACTTGTTAAATAAATGTAATACTCTTATACAAGAGTATGAACTTGCAGAGTCAGTTGTCCCCTTTTACTGTGGGTTCCAGGATGTTAGACCTGTGTAGCAAACTCTTTCAAGTCATCTCACCAGCCCTGATATTTCTGACTTGACATGAATTGTGAAAACTATACTAATATGTAAAAATACCTTAAATGTTTTATTTTAAATATTTTGTGTGATGCTGAGGACTCAGCCAGAGCTCTGAATATTCTACATTCTAGGTAACACTACCCTCTTGAAAATCTCATCATGTTAAGAAGAGGTAGAATATATCAAAAGCAAGATTTATTGATTTTACTTTGTGGATGAATATGCCTGAACTCATGTGTGTACAGCATTCGTGTGTGGTGTGCCTGTTTGAGCTTCTGGGACTGGGGTTATAGATGGTTGTAAGCTATATGATGTAGGTGCTGGAAATTGAACCTATGTCCTCTGCAAGAGCAGCCAGAGCTCTTAATTGCTGAGCTTCTTTTTAGCATAAGTTATGAATTTCTAATCTATGATGAAAAGTTTTCAACCATAAAAACATATGCAGCTGGTTAGGAATGGGCTTTAAAGAATCAAAATGTATCAAGTACTAACCTTAGTCTTGTTAATTGGCTATAGTCATCATATCAAAGAGTTAATTAATATAGAAAGTTTAGATGAATGTTGCAAGCCAAATGTTACAATCATATGCCTAACTGACACTGAACTGTTGCTGCTTGTAGTATTAACTACAAATGCTAAAACCAGATTGGAGTTATTCTCTTATTGGTTCAGAAGTAGATTTCAAAAAAGCAGTTATTATCATTGTTGCTGGCTAAGAGCTGATTTCATCTACTGAAAAGACAGAAAGGTAGCATTTTCTTAAAGCCACGATGATGAGGTGTACTTTTTTCACTGTAATCTGTAATTTGCTATAAATCTGCTGAATCCTAATGACTTCATTCACTCCTCGCACGGTAACAAAATTATCTCCTTGCTTACCAAATATAGATCTTTCTGAAACATAAATCTCCAATAGTTTATTATATAGCTTTTAGGATGATTTTCAAGTTTTTTTAGTTAAACATGATCTTACTATAATAAGGTTCGTGCTTCTAACCCCAGGGTAATGTCCACTGTATTAAAGCCCCGTCTACTACTCAAACTGAGTTATTGCCTAAAAACATTTAAAACTCTTTATCTACTTGCCTCAAAATTTCTTGGTATGATCATCCTTGACCCCCTGATTTCCCCCAAAGCAAACAAACAAACAAAACACAAAAAACCCTTTGTAAATAACTACATATTTAACTGAAAAATGTTGACAGTACATAAGCAAGCTGCTACCTATTCATTCATACAAAGGAAAACTCAATTCTAGTGTACAATTATGTAGACCCAATCACTTAAACACTAAGAAGCTAGTAGTGGCACATGACTGTGAATTAGTGGTATAAAATAATGGCTGAGTATAAATCATGGAAAGCATTTTGTGCTTTATTTTTTAAAGGGGTAAAAGTAATCTGAATAGGAAATAGCTCACTCCTTTGCAGGGGTGGGTGAGGTGCAGAAAAGGGAGAGGGAAAAGGCAGGCAGAGAGCAGTTCTTAGTAACTCAAGCTGAAGGCTGAGTGTGATAAAAGCAAGGGAAAAGAAAGAAAACATTTGACACAAGGCTTGGTGGCAGAATTGATACTGTGGGAAGAAGTTAGGGTTAGTTTCTAATGGCAGCCCCCCAACCCAGGAGGTGGAACAGGGTGGGTACAAAGTGACACACCTGAGCACAGTATAATGGTTGGTTAAAAGGAGTAGGCTTGCTGCTACCTAATATTAAATCCCAACTCTTTCACTTCCCTTAATAAGTCATTTTGCTTTCTTAATGTACTGGTTCTTAGAGACCATACATCAGCATCAACAGGGACCTTCACAAAAAAATTGCTGATTCTCAGGTTGACGCTTTGTAGTTATGGCAGTAATCTGTATTGTAAAAAGCCATCTAAGTGACTCTATCTAATGTTAAGAATTGATATTCCATGAGAACTTTGTAAAAATGAGAGTTTAAGGTTCAAATGACATAAATAATGTTTAATGCTAATTACTATTATTCCATTTGTGTCCAAGTACAGAAATTAAGCAATGAAACTGTAGATCTGGTGCTTGGGCTGGAAATAAAATGGTCTGAGTTGTCAGATAATCAGCAAAGAGTAAGATCAGGAGAAAAGAGGTCAAGTTTATGAAAGAACCCCAGAATTATTTTTACCCTATTCACAAAATATCTATAACACTCTCAGGAGAATACTTGGAAAGTTAACAGGGCAAGTGGAAAGAGGAATGGCCTGTGCTGGGAATAAAAGAATGGGGGAATATTTTAAGAACTTTGACTATAAGACAGAAGAATGAGAAACAGAGTATGAATTATTTTTAAGGGGGCAAAAGTAAATACCTTTAAACGCTGCCAGAAATCACTAAAGATGTTAAGGATACTGAACATATATCAAAGAGAAGGTTTTTGTTTTTGTTTTTGTTTTTCCTTGAGACAGGGTTTCTCTTTATTGCTTTGTAGCCTGGCCTGGAATTCTCTGTAGACCAGGCTGGCCTCGAGATCCGCCTGCCTCTGCCTCCTGAGTGCTGGTATTAAAGGTGTGCACCACCACCGCCAAATATTTTTTTAAGACTCCAGAACATGGGGCTAGAAAGATGGCTCAGCGGGTTAAGAGTACTGGCTGTTTTTCCAGAGGTCCTGACTGAGTTTAATTCCTAGCAAACACATGGTGGCCCACAACCATCTATAATGGGATCTGATGCATTCTTCTGTCATACAGGCATACATTCAGATAGAGCACACATATGTAAAATACACAAAACTTTGAATGTGCTAGGCTCATGCCAGTAATGGCAACACTTGGGAAAGAAATGAAGATAGGACTGATCTGAGTTTATGAAAACTGAGGTTACCAGTTTGAAATCCCAGTACCTACATGAAATGTGGAGTATATCAATGATCCTGTAACCTATTCAGGCACCAAGAGAAGATCATTGGGCATTGCTAGCTAGGTTCAACGATAAACCCTGTATCTCAAGGGAATAAAGTACAGGACACACAGCATCCTCCTCAGGCATGTGTATGAAGGGGGAGGGTGGGAGAGGGGGAAGGGAGGGAGAGAAGGAGAAGAGGAGAAGAGAGAAGAGAAGGAGGAGGGGGACAGAGAGAGAGAGAGAGAGAGAGAGAGAGAGAGAAAGAGAGAGAGAATATACAGAGATCTAAGCCAAAGTTTAGACACATTTCAAGAATTTATCATTTGTTTTCTCACATGAGATTATTAGCTAGAGTAACTGGGAAATACAAGCAGTTGGCTTGGAATGTTATCTAGACAAACTCCTTGAAGGCAGGGTCTATAATGTTCTGTCAGCATTTATTATACACTGCATGACAATATCCTTAAATATCAGCTAAAATAGTCTGATCTTTGCAACCTAATGGTAGCATTTCTAGTAAGTCCACTAAAACATCTTCAAACTGAAAATATCTACCGAGAATTTAGTAGTTTTTGTTTTCCTAAGAAGTATATTTAATTCATCAAAACATAAAAACTTATCCAAGCTACTCCTTTTCTCAATGTCTTAGGAAGGTCATTTTTGTTTTGAGACAGGGTCACATTCACACCAAATTCATAGAGCTTCTGCCTTACAATTGCTAGGATTAAAGCCAATATGCTCTGCTGGAAGTCATTAAGTGTTCAGACAACCACTTATTGCAGTTCTGTCAAGGTAGTTTCTAATACAGGGCTGTTCTATTACTGAATTATTCCACTATAGTGATTTGCTTCCGGCATCCTCAACCACCTGGTCTCATTCATCTCAGGTATGAACCAGTTCTTTAAATGAGGTATTTCCCATCTCGTACTAAAGTATTAAATTTAATTTGTGTGGTCTCCTGATGTAGTCCAGTAGAGAGCACCTAACTAACATGCATGAGCCCTTGGGTTCAATACCCAGCACTGCAAATACACACACACACACACACACACACACACACACACACACACCCCTTAATCCTACATAGATACAAAAATCAGTACATTGCTTCCATTCAAAATCAAAAGCACACTCTGGTACAGTTATTAAGCTATACCTCTTGAAGGGACCAACTACTTGGTTCTTGATATCAAAATCAAATCAACAGGTGAGTTTTCCCAGCTGATAATAAACTTTCACAATAGGGTACTTAGGAATTAGTTTTCTTCATTAGGGGTCATAACATTAACTCTTGGGCTGGAGAGTTGGATAAACAGTTATGAGCACTGGTTGCTCTTCCAAAGGACCTAAGTTTGATTCCCAGCACCCACATGGCAACTCACAACTGTCTGTTACTCCACATCCTAGCTTCTGTCTGCACCAAGCAAGCAAGTGGTGCACAGACATATATGCAGGCAAAAATCTGCATCCATATACATTTAAAACAAAAGAAAACAAACAAAACACAAAACAAAGCTAACTCTAAGCCATTGTCTTTTTCTCTAAAATTAAGATTACAAAATTACTCTTGGATGGTGGTAGTGTACACCTTTAATCCCAGTATTTAGGAGACAGAAGCAGGTGGATCTGTGAGTTTGAGGCCAGCCTCATCTAAAAAGAGAATTCCAGAGCTACATGGAGAAACCCTGTCATAAAAAAAAGAAGAAAGAAAACAAACTCTTAGCATGTCTATTTTTAGGATAGTCAACATTCTCCTACAAATCCCCCATCCCTGAGGTAAAAT